TATAGTCTGTCTTACCTTATAGTCTGTCTTACAGATGAACAGTGAGTGATTCCAGGTCAAGGGTCGTGGGCTGAAGTTGTCATTTTCACTGGGGAAGCACTGCATGGTCACAAAACCTTTGATGGGGAGGGCTCCGCCCAGTTTACGCAGGAGCGGTCTTATCTGTATTATTGCGCGCCCCACTTAGCGTCTCCTCATCAAGTGGGGTCTGTGTGCTGCTCTTTCCCCTCTGCAGCCTCCATACTGTTGTTGCTTCGCCTTTGTGTAAAAGCCATCGTTCTTTTGAGGCTCCTGCTAACTGACACATAACTTTCTTCTGGTCCTCATTGCGGTTACCTGCTAACGTCCTGTCTATTCTTCCTACTGAAGACTGTTGAAATGGCTCAAAGATGGCTTCCCCACTCCCATCAAGTACTGCCTTTATCTTACATGACTTTAATGCCCGTAGAGCAAAGCCGTGCAACATTTTACCTTTAGTTTCTTGGCCTTTTCAGCTCTCATATCTTTACCTCTCTTTGTTTCGGCCACTCACACCCTAGATTGAAATTTCCAGTGATCCAGTGTGGACTGCCTTAAGCAAAGAGATTTGGGGCAGCTCAGCTGAATGATTCAGGGGGAGACTGACTTCACAGCGTGGCTGGATGCAGGGAGTCAGCCTTGTCATCTGGATTCTGTTCGCGTTTACCTAGCTTTCGTCTCTGCTTGATTTGCTGTCTTTGTCTGTTGGACTCACTTTCTCCTTTTGGAGGAGGGTTTTTCTGTGCTGCCAAGAAAGACAGTCACACGCAGATACAAGGTCTTCACAGCTGAGAGACTGAGCCGAGAAAAAGAGATTCTCTGCCTCTGACATCCATGGAAGAAATCTCAGAGAAGAATCTGATCATCTCTTCTGGGTCATATACCCACCCTGGGCCAATCGCTGTAGCCAGAAGGACGAATTCAGTGGCTTGCATCCCATGCCAACCCCTGCAGTGAGGATGGAGTAGGGTGAAGCTCCAGGACAATCTGCTCAACCAGAACCCCATGTAACAACAGAGGAAAAGTTCCCCAAAGAAAGAGAAGTTGGGCAGACACAACACGCATCTATTACATATGGTCAAACGCAGGACCAGAATCACCTAGAACTTCTCCACCTCTGAAATCTTAAATTCTCCATAGCCTCTTACCATCCCAGAACTCTATCTCTTGCTCCCAAATAGCTGTTCTTTGAGATCCCTTGGTCCTCATATTTCCTCCCTCCTAGACTTGCCAGTCTTCACTCTATCTGGAGCCAGCCTAGATATTATGGTGCATTTCCTCAATCATTCTCTTCCAAGCACCTTGAACTCCTTGTTCCCTTGCCCTCCTGTCCTCTACTTGGAATTAATCTCAACTACCAGTGTTTTTGCTGTTTTTCCTGCCCCACTGAATGAGACTGGAGGAAATCACATAAAAGCACAGCTAAGTGGTACGCCAAATCCATGGCCTTCGATCTCACTTGAGCTCTTTTACTAACTGGTAATCCCATGCCATCTTCCCAGTTAGAGCTTGTTGCCATTTTCCGAAATGATGGTTGCAGATATTCTTCTTTCCCTCAAGGCTTTTGCCTCGTCTCTTCCTTCTTCACTGTCAGCAGATAATCTCGTCTCCTATTTCACCCAGAAAATAGAAGCCATTACAGGAAACACCTTTAATATCAGATCCTGACATAGCGATGTGTGTGCACACCCTTCCTTCCCTCCTTCCCTCCTTCCCTCCTCCTGTCTCAGGTTATTCCCTCTGCCTTGCCACTTGCATCCACAGCAACTTAGTCCTATTAGTTGTTTTCCTCTCTCATATGTTTTCAACTTCACCTTCATTCATGGCTTATTTCCATCAACATTTAAATATGTCCAAATCTCTTTCATCTTAAAAAATATCACTCCTTCTGCTCCACAACTTACAGCCTTATTTCTCTCTCTTTTGTCACAGTTGAACCGCTAGAAAATGTGGCTTACATTGCTGTCTTTCTGGTCTTACGTCCCATCCATGCCATCATCCATGGCAACATGGCTTCTGTCTCCACTCATCCAGCTCTCACATCTTTGTTAGCAAATCTCTGTTCCTTTTAAAGTCCTTGTCTTACTTGATCTTTCTGTAACATTTGATACAGTTGACCATTTCCTTCTTGAAATGTCCTCTTGCGTTAACTCCCATCCTGTGACATTCTACTCCTTTTTCTCCTACCTCTCTGGATGGTTGAGTTAGATTGTTTTAAGGTTATAAGAAAGAAAATTGAAACGAAAAGATTATGTTAGGATAAGTGTGGGTGGGAGTCTTGACCTCACAATTGGAACTCAATGAAGAACAGCCACACGTCCCATACATTGGAACAAGTAGAGAGTCCAAGAACTGGAGTGCCAACTTCAGAGCACCACGCTGCTGTCATGGCTGGGTCCTCCTGCCTGTCTCACGGACGCTGGTGTCCTTTGACGGCATGATGACTCAGCTCCCTGCCTCTGCTTCTGCTTCTGCTTCTGCCAAGACAGTCATCATTCCTCCACTCTTCTCTCCGCCTTTAGCAGCTACTTCTGCTTATTCTGGGCTTCCCTTTGTCTGTGTTTTCTAGTACTTCCTGGCTTTTCTGTACATCTCGTCATTTCTGCTCCCACCATGAACTGCTCTCGCTCTGTGTTTCCCTTGCGGAGGGAGAACTTGATTGATTCAGTCAGCCGGGCTTCAGTGCGAGGTGCCCCTGGATGGCAGCACTTTTGCACACTGTAGGCCAGTGACAAGCCTGCGCATTGGCTCCCCTTGGATCAGGCTCCCTTTTCTGGTCCAGTCTGCTGGGGTCATGGAAGTGAGGTCTCGTGTCTGTCTCTTGGCTGTAAGTGTTCCATCGGGGTCTGCCCTAGTCTCCTTTTCCCACACTTTATCCGCTCTCCAGTGCATTAGCCTTTGACCTTAGACAAGTTACTTATCTCTCTGTGCCTCAGTTTCCTCATCTGTAAAATAGATGTAAAATATCTACCTGTTATGGGTTGACTTGTGTCCCCCCCACCAAAGATGTTAAAGTCCTAACTCTCAGTAACTGTGAATGTGATCTCATCTGGAAATAGAGTCTTGCAGTGGATCAAGTTATGAGGAAGTTATCAGGGTGGGCCTTATTCCAACAGGACTGGTGTGCTTATAAAATGGGTAAAGCTGGACACAGAGAAAGACACATACAAGGAGAACACCATGTGAAGATGAAGGCAAAGACTGGGTGATGTAGCTGCAAGCTGAGGAATGCCAAAGATTGCCAGCAAAACACCAGAAGCTAGGAGGGAGGCATGGAACAGGTTCTTCCTCCCAACCCTCAGAAGGAACCAACCCTGCCAACACCTTGATTTCACACTTCTGGCCTCCAGAACTGTGAGACGGTGAATTTCTCTTGTTTCAGACACTCAGTTTGTGGAACTTTGTTAGTGCAGCCCTAGGGAACTAGTAACACTACCTGAAAATTGCTGTAAGGATTAAACAATGGAAAGGTGTTAGAAAATATCCTGGGACAGAGGGGATACTCAATGCATGTTAGTTAATATCATTTTTGTAAATATCGCTAACCAGTTCCACCTAGTCTCATGGCTTTAGGTGTCTTCTGTGCGATGATGATGCCAGCTTTCATCTCTCTACATAGGAACTTTGTCCTGATCTCCACACCAATGTATGCAGTAGGGTGTGGTGGGGACACACATAGGATTTGAACAAAATAGGCTGGGCTTCAAATACAGGCTCTCCTGAGTGGCTTGGGCTGCTTGATTAACTTCTTGGAACCCTAAAGTGCTTCAAGACTGTAATAGGAATAACAAGAGTATTTTCCTCATAGAGTCCTTGCAACGATTCAATGAGCTGACGTGTATAAGGGGCATGGCTTGGAATACGGGCATCGTAAGAGCTCAGTGAATGTGGTTATGTCCTGTCTGTTCCACCCCCCACCTCCTCCCTCACCTCTCCCAGTCTCTCCTTCCTCATTATCCCCGCAGTCATTTACACCCCATTATCTCTAACTCCCTCAGTCTCTGCTTTAGTGTTCCTGGTACTAGGGATTGACCCCTCCTTCTCCATTGTAGTCAAAGTGATCCCTTAAAAATACAAATACGATCCCATGACTCTGTGCTTTGGGCCATCAGTGCTTCCCACTGCTCTGTGGCTAGAGGCCAGCCTTGCTGGCGTGGCACACAGGCTCTCTTCCTCCCCTTTGTCTCTATGAACGCCAGACTGTCTAGAAAACAACGTTTGCAGTTTCTCCAGTTCTCTCTCTCCTCCAGAGCTTTGCAACTGCTGACTTTTTGGACTGTCTGTCTTTTCT